ACTTAAAATCTTTGTTAATAAAGTTGATAAAATATATATTAAATTATATTTTTTATATAGTAATAATATTACTAAAACTAATATTTAATATTTTATAAAGAAATTAACAATTATTTTTAATTTCGCAGGCAAATTTGCTTGTTAGACAATCTAAGGGATAACAAATTCATCTTCAGTTGAGTTTTTTATTGGTTTAAAAAAATTAAAAAGAGAACTTATTCCCTTTGCTGCCACTGTAAAACTTTCTTGAGATCCATACTTTTGATAGTGTATTGCAATTGAGTTTCCAGTATATGGCACTTTTTTTTTCAAATATTGCAATGTCAATCCATACTAACTTAAATTCAGATAAATATTGTATTCTTTGATTTACAAATTTTTCAGAATCAGAATCACTTTCTTCTGAATAAAAATCATTTGAGTCACATACTATTTATTTGATGTAAATTTACCTGTTTTATCACGTTTTTATTCTGTAATTCGCTCTTTGGCTAATCTTGATGCATGTGATAATGGCATAACGAATGTAAATATAAAATTTATTACAATTAAAAGACTATAAGAAAAGAGGAGAACAACTTGAAATTCTAGAAATAAAGTTATGTCCCAAGTTTATCAAATTGATTTTAACTAAAATTTATATTTTTTCTTTTTTTTTTTAAATGTTTCACAATTTTGGCATATTCTTAATTTCAGCCATCATAGTTAAATTAGTGTAAATGTATCACACAAAAACTTTGTTCATCATGCATAAAATTTAGAATCTAACCGTAAAAATAATTAGATTTTGATTCAAATTTTCCAATCTATCGGTTAAAATTTTTATATCTTTATTATTAACAGAGTTACATATGTTTAAAGATTAACAATTTTTACTATAAAGTTATTCCTATTATAGAGGTTCTGCACTGTAGAATTATAGATGCAATAACTCAGCATCCAAGCTGACATAAAACTAGCAAACTAATAGAATGTCTCTGACTCTTCGCAAGTTTTATAACAGTTTTCTGTCAGTTCTATGACAGCTTCAAGGATACTACCAAGTCACCATTATGGCGATAAGCTGGATCTTTGAATCACATGCCTAAAAAGTCAGCCAAAATTTGGTATAGTACCAGCAAAATTAATTGCAGATCTATCACGACACCTGACGTAATATTTTTATACTATTTCAGTATTCTGAAGGTAACCAAATAAGTGCACATTTCATCCATATTTACTAACCAACAGGTCATAGAGAGGAAAACAGACTCCATCTTTAAGACAAATAAATTATGGATTATAACATCCTAGGATATATTAATTAATAGATTATAATATTTTAGATTATTTGTTATTTCAAAAAAAAAATTTTTGTCAATTTGGTCCTTTTTCCCATATTAATTAATAATTATAACATGTTAGAATATATTAATTAATAGATTATAACATCATAGATCTAATACATATTAGTCTAGTATAAGTGGATTGTTCTAGAACAATCTGCTTAAGCCTTTCAAAGGTGATTTTAAATAGTTTTTATTCCTTTTTCTCTGTTTTTCTTTGTTTTTTTTAGGAAAATTGATTTGAAATAGTTAATTTTACTAAAGATCATCTTGTATATTAGCTTTAATTTTTCAAATTGAAATTAAATTTGATGAAAATGCAATATTAAAAACTATTATGATTCTTCTTTCTAGTATATACTTTAGACATATTATAATCTATATCAAATTTATTTCATATTTTTCTATCCATTTGTTCAAATCTTGAAAATTTTTTTCAACAATAAGAAAAGCCAGTATTTCCTTTTGTTAAAAATAAATTACAAAACCTTTTTAGCATATATAAAGAGTAACATGATTGCAGCAAGTTTTGGATCTAATTTAGATATATTAATAATTAATTATCATTATAGAGCATATGAGAAATTTGCAAAGTATATTCCTTCTCATCCTATTTTTTGTGCTTGTCAAATGTTCAATATTACATGAAAATATATGTCAATATAATATAATTACAGAATTAGATAATTCATCTAATAATTAATATGAATGGGCAACTTATTGATCATCAATTGACACCCATAAGATTCTTTACGCAGATGAGAGCATATAGAATTTTTATTTTATTTATTGTATTTAGTAAAAATAAAACTCCGCAGAATTTATAACCGCAGAAAATCATCGTCCCTCCCCCGTGATCAGATCAGATCACCGTCCGCAAAACAAAACTAATTTTTATTGGTAACACAGAGTCACAAGCTTATTAAACATTTCGTTCACTTTCGTTTGGATTTTACTGATACCCGTTAATAACGATGTCGAGCCGCAAAAGAAAGCGAGTTAAATTTCAAAAACAAATAAATGAGGCAAATTTTTATGAAGAAGTTGAAGAAAAGTCATCAACTCGTAAAGCTCCAAGAACTCGTAGTAGAAAAGAAGTTAATAATATTAAAAACCCGGTTATAGTAGGACGTAAAACTCGTGAGAAAGAAGTCAAGGATAGACAAATGGTAGTAAAAGTTAATATAAATAATAATGAAATTCCAAAAACCCGTGGGAAAGGAGCACGATTGAAGAAAAATAATATCCAGGTAGTGATTTATTAAAATAAAAATATGAAATAAGGTTTCCGTTTGAAATTCAAGTTTTTTTTTTTTAAAACATCGAAATGGTTTCGAATATTAATTTTGAGTGTAAAAAATCATTTCATGTTGTTCTACTTTTCATGTTAAATTTTCTTATTTCTCTTTCTATATACAAAATATTATGCTAATGAGAGTTTTTAATTATTGGGCAAACAAAGATTCCTATGATATTGTAACAAAAATGTTGAAAGTTGTAGAATGCTTGCCTAAACCCTTTCTTTACAAAAATATAGTTTCGTCAAGAGTTTTCAACATATAATGTATTTTGATTCAAAAGAATTCAAATATAATTTCGTTACTTAAGAACAGTAGGTTCGGCAAGCATCATTACTGAAAGTAAAAATGAATTTCGATATTTGAATTTCAAAAACTTATTTATTTACAACGAATCTTCGAATATCAAACGGAAACCCCTTGTTTTAAATAAATATTAAATACATATATGTACTGTATATATATATATATATTTATTTCAATTTATTTCTTTAGGATAAAGATGAAGAAGAAAATCGATTAGAGGATGAACACGAGGATTATGAAGAAAATGATATTAAAGATGAAGATGATGAAGAATATCGATTAGAAGATGATGAAAACGATGACGAAGAAGAAGAATATATAGATGATGAACAAGAGCATTATTCAGATTCATCATCAGAATTAATTGCGCACAAAAAGCCATATTACGGAGGTCGTAAAAAACTTCCGCAACGTGCTGCAACTACACAAAAAATTGATTATTCTGTTAATCATTATTATCATGATTTTCAAGATTATTTCTTTACCAGATTAGATGATGATGATTATAACGACGAACCTAAAAGGAAAAAATCTTTGTCTATGCCAACAAGAAAAAGATCTTCTGATAATGATTATTCTGATATTTCATCTCAAGATGAAAAAAATCTCAAATCTACTCCTAAGAGAACTCGCAGAAAAAAGTTACCTCAACGTGGATCAAAAGAAAAAAACATTGATTATTCCGAAAATAAATATTACAGGCAATTTGATTCTGCTATGAATGCTAAGTTTTGGTCGGATAAATTATCAAATGACGAAAACAATGCAAGTGATACTGATAAAAATCGTAGTAATAGTAACAAGAAAAGCCAAATATCATTTGCTATACCAAGTACACCTACATCTAATAAAACTAGTTGAATTACCCTCTAGTTCTAGAAAGAATATTCAATTAGTTTCAAATCAAGATAAACGAGAAGGTGGTGATTATCCTGAGAGGAAAATCTTCCTTAAATAATGACTGGAAATCTTCTTCACATAATACTTTTAGATGGAAAGTTTGAGGTTATGTTTTATCTATATCATGGAAGAAATAATTAGTTAATTTTTTAAAAGATATATTTAATTCCACAAAAAAAAAAAAAAAAAAAAAAAAGGAATCTTTTATTTGATTGTGTAACAATAATTTATATACTACTTTACAATTGATAATATTCTTAAAATCAAATTTAATTAGTGTTGACTTCTTAAATAAATATATAAATAATTATATCGAAAACAAACAAACATACATTAATTATCATTTGAGCATTATTTTAAATTGACTTTACAAGTAATAACGATAAATAACAGTTTTTGATAATCATAGAAAGTTTTTTCTGTGATACCCCCAAAAAGGTAGTTCCTTGATGAAAGAAAATAATTTCGATGTCTACATTTAAAAATTCTTTTTTGTTTTTATAAGAAATCAATGTCTGACCTTTTCTTGTCCATTATAAAATACCATTAGAATAATATTGAAAAGTATCATATAATCTGGTAAATACATTACAACAACTAGACATAATTAATCGTTCAACATATTCTTCGAATTGTGGTTCGGTTAAAGAGAGTTGAAATCTTTCTTTTAAGTGAGCAACTGTTAAATCTCCAGAAATGAAGCAAGGTAACTTCGAATCTAAGTATTTAAATTAAAGTATCATAATATAAATCTTTTTTTCTTTTATAATGTATCCATCCAATAACAAAAAACAAATGTATTAAACTGGTTAATAGACCAATTGATTACCTTTGGACATCATTTCAACTAATAAAACAAAATTATCTGCATGTTTCCGTAAAGCAATGAAAGATTGTTTTAGCAATGTTTTGAATTCTGCAAATTTCTCACTTGCTATACCACCAAGAATATCCAAATACTCTTGCGACAGTTTGAACGGTGCTAGTTCGAACCCAACCGATCCTGGAGAATTTGAAAGCATAAACCCAAAATCGATATCTAATAATATAAATATTTTGGTTTATAAAATAGGGAAATTTAATCGCAGTCGAAAAAAAAATGATTACTTATGAAAAATTACTCACGTATTAAATGACCCTCTGTGTCCAACAAAACATTTCCATTATGACTAGATTTTGATTGAATTATTAATCTATGAAAATTAAAATCATAATTGATTAATAAGGAGAATCAATGAATAATCTTACCGATCTTTGACTTGAAGAATATAACAAACAAGTGAGTATGCCGCTAAACTTCGCATAAAATTATCTTGAGCACGCAAAAAAGCTTCAGAAGAAACATCTCCATATGTCTAAAGAAATAAAGATTATTAGAAATTTTATTTAGGAAACCCCGCCAAATAGGAAAAAAAAATGATTTCAAAACCTTAACAAAATAATCGAATAAAGTGAACATAAATCCTTTTTCATTCAACTTTTTAGCATAAGCGTCTTTTTTAATTGAATGAATTGAAATTGAATTTTGAATTGTTTCTATCAGGCCCGAATTGTCAGATGTAACTAATACACGATAACTAATTTGTATTATAATGTAAGAGGTATATAAATATTTGAATGAACTCAAATATTAAGAAGATAAAAATATTTTAACTTACTATTTAACCCAAACATCGATCTTAGCTTTTTGCCATATTCGTTGCATCTCTCTTATTAATTGGCATGCTAATTGCTCTTGCCGTAAATCAGCACCAGTCTTGACAATCACAGACAAAAGTCGCCAATTTGAATGATGACCATAAGGAGATGATTTACGAATTCGATCTCTCTTAGATTCCCAATCTTCACTAAAAACGGCCGCTGATTATTATAAAAAAAAAAAATAGTGAATAAAAACTAATAACTCAATTTGATAAGAATTTAAATCAAGTTTTTGATAAATTATTCTTTTCGTACCACTAGGATCTTCTTTATTTATAGCACTCAAAATTTTTTTTTCATCTTCCAACATTTCACCACCTCCACCTTCTCCACCATTGGCTCCAGCATTAGTTCGAACACCGCTAGTCACTTGGGTTGTCATTTTCATCATCCTTTCTTCCTCCAAACACATCATTTCTTTAATTATTTTTTTGCTTATTGCATCAGTGTCAGCTTTTGTCCTTTGAATGGGTTCACCAGTAGAGGAAGTGCGCATTTGATTTGCATGATTCAGTTGAGCAAGCATCACAGCGGCAGTACGCATCCTTTCAGCAAACTCATCTGCAGAATTGGACTGCCGACGATTCATTACTTGTTTCAAATATTCACTATTGGATTCTGGCAACGTTGGTGTTGTAGGTGTATAAGGAGTAGAAGGAGTAGGTGAAACAGGTGGAGCAACAGGGACGGAAAGGGCAGAAGGAACATGTGGAGCGTGTGGGACATATAAAGCAGTTGGGGTAGGTGAAGGTGCTCTGTTATCTTTAGACATTTGCAGAATTGAGTCTGTTGAACGTACTACAGTATCAGTTGCTAATTGCTGTAATCCTGTTTCATCAACAGGAGCTAGAGGTATTGACGTTATCGATGGAAGTTTATCAATTGATGCCGTTCTTTTTGAAGAACGCGAGGAGGTGGACAAACTACGAGGAATTGGCGTTATTATATTTGAAGTGTCTGATAATGATAATGGTGAAACAGGCCTTTCACTATCACTTTCTGTCTTATTGCTTTTATCTTCATCAGTTGATTTACTAGCATCATTTTCCTCGTGTTTTTCACTGGTATTTTCTTGCTCGTTATTCTCTTTTTCTGAAAATTCTATAATTGGATTATCCGTATTACCACTACTATTTTTGGATTGTTCCGTAGATTGTTCATGAATATTTTTCGTTACATTGTTTACATTTTTATTTGATTCTGAAGATATCGATGTATCAAAAGATCCTCTTCTTTTTTCATCATGAAGAAGACGCTTTAATGATTTTTGAGTCTGCAACTTTGACATATCAAAGCTCATTTCTCCTTCAAGAACTTCTACCATTAATAAATAGGGTACCTAAATAGCAAAAAAGAAAAGAAAATGATAACACCAATATATTTAAACATAAAATCCATAATGAAATCTATTTAATCCTAGTTAGAAAATTTTAATTTAATAAAGAAAAATCGGTACCCGATCTGCTGAATTTAACACGACTGCATCAACTGGAGATATTTTAACAACTCGATGATGATGTGGATTCTCAGCTGTTGCTGGACACCAAAGAGGTATACAGACTTCTGCAGGTAAATTATGATTTAATAAGGTTAATTCTCCTCTAAGTGTACTTTGCCTGGCTTCTTTGGGAACAATAATTAATCTCGTTGAGATATCCTGTAAAGCTATCAAAAATTGCATTTCTGAGTGGAAATAATTTCCTTTTAAAAGACGTTTTTGCAGTTCTGGACCACACTCTTCCAATTCATCTAACAAAGTACTATCTGAAATTTCAGTTGAAATACGATAAATAGAGATATCATCTTCTCCATCATCATCATGGTCTACACTAGATGGCGGATAATCAACTGATTGCGGTCGAGGTTTTGAAATATATTTCTTTGATGAAATCAGGCCTCCTTTATATAAATCATCAAGAGATGGTGATGTAAATGTAGCCGCGTTTATACCATTACGACGATGAGGATAAGATGATGAAGACGACCTGGATATACTTTTCTTATGACCTTTAACGAAAACAGGTTTTGATTGTCCGTTAATTTTTGAAGGATCTAATAATGATGATGTCTGCTCATCTTCTGTCTCTTGAATATTTTCTTTGGAAGATGGTGAAACCAATTCAACATGAATATCTGGTGTTTCATCAGTTTTTATAACTAAGTCTTGAAAAGAAGTTTCGACTTGTATTTCTTTTTTATTACCTTCGTCTTCTAATTCAGGTGATGTTGCTGAACTTTCAGGTTGATCGCTAGATGAATCTTCGTGAGACTGCCTTAAAGTTACATTTCCAGTATGTGTTCTTCTTCTAGCTAATCCATTATTTCCTGAGTTACTAAAAGCTCTAGCACGCCTTCCTTGCGCTATAGCAATTTGTCCAGCACTTCTTGTTAACATTGGTGTAGCAATACCTGCAAGCATGGCACCTATACCAACAAGAGCAGGAAAAGTATTCTCTTTCACTTGTCGTGGAGATATTCCACGATTTGAAGCTTTGTCATCTTCAATTAGATTTTCGTCAAATACTATTGCTTGACATTTATTTAAGACACGTTTGCAAATCGTAAAGGCAGGAGAAAATGGATTGGAGGACAAATCTGAACAATACGCTTGAAGGTACCATAATGTCTAAAAAAAAATTCAATAAATTGAATCACATCATTTAATCTTTTTGAAAAAAAAATTTTTTCTTTATTATTTAAATCATTTTTAATTACACAATACCAGAGTAGCCATATGTTTTGATTTTTCGCAATTTTCTAATATAAAACACTCCAAAGCAACTGATTCGGTAGTTCGACTAATGAGCAAGTGACTTTTGAAGGGAATTTATAAAAATTTAGAAGTAATGATCAATACAGAGTTCTATTGCTACTTAAATCTATGAATTAGCCTTTCTGCCAATGATAACTTAAAAGAGGTTCAAGCACGAATAAATGACTAGAAACCCTCCTAAATTTAGAAGCAACCATTTTAAATTAAAGTCTTTTACCATAATTGCGGCAAAAAAAACTCGATTTCCGACATTGGAAATTTCTTGAGTTCATTGCACAAATAATGTTGGATCCCAACTGAATTGGGATATCTGAATAAATATTCGATTGCCATCCAACTATTAAAATGTTCGCTTTGGAACAGCCGAAGAAGAAGTTGTTGCGACATTATCAGACTTAAGGTAGTTTGAACTAGATCTTGTTCAAAAGGTTGAACGAAAACGAAAACATTAACAAAATTATGCGCCAGAATTTTTGCTATACGATAATTTAGATTTCAGGGGTTAAAACGATTTACAGGCCCTCCAGTTGCTCAATAACCAATAAGATGGTAAAGTTACACGCAAATAAATTGTTTTATTATCCCATAGGACAAATTAATTTTTAAAGATTTAATTTATAATTTTTATAATTGCAATTAGATACTGTTTCGGACCCACCTTCTCAATTATGCTCGAAGTCTGGAAAAATCCTGATCCACTGGCAGATAATACAGTTTTTAAAATTGTTAGTTTAACTGAACCGGCCTTTTTATTTATAATATTACAAAAATAATAAAGAATTTTTAAGAATTTTCTAATTACGAATTTTATTTGGTTAAGCAATTTACTTGATGCTAAAAAAAAAAATAATCCTGTTCTACGGTCGGTTGATCTAACATGAATCTTTCCCTTATTATATCTTTATAACAATATTAGATAATCTGAGCTTTTCTTTTATTTGCTTTAATTCTGAATGTAATGCCCGTGTTCGACATTAATGTTAATTGGATTATCTCCATTTATCCTATAATAGGAAGCACGAATTAATAAATTGATTCGATAACCAAAAAGTGCATTCTTGGTAGAATAATATCCACTTTGAACTTTGTAGAGATTATTTTCGATTCTGTGTAATCATTCTCTCCAAATATAGAATTTTCGGTTGTTCGATCATCATAATCGGATCTTTTCATTGAATTCCGGGTGTGTGTATTTTAATTATGTAAAATCTATTGCTAAAAGATTTAGTTGTGTGATACAAATCACACATATTGGGACGTAGGTGATGTAGATTGAGGAGGCAAAGGAATAGTGATTGTAGATAGAAGAGGTTGGTTTAAGCTTCTAAAAAAAACTGTGATAAGTAGAATGTATGTAATAATGTAATCAGTTTATCTGAAAAAAAAACGTACAATAATAATATACAGTCGACCCCCTCTACAGTCACCCCTATATAATAAATCCTTCACCTTTCATAAAAACCAGTTCCTATTAACATAATATAAAAAACCCCTTCTATCCCTTTTGGAACCAATACTTAGTTAGTAATACTACTAGGGAACGGTTTCGAAAACCGTTGTTAAGTCCGGAGCAAAAAGACCAATCATGTATCGACTCAATTTTTGAGCGGGAACATCTCGTGTCACCGGTATATAGTCCTTTGTTACACTCCGGACTTAAAATATGTCGCAGCAGAAAATCTGATTACATGGTCACATGGTCTTGTAAAAGTTTTTATCGATGCATCATAGCGTGTACATGTCCCCAACCATCCTTTTGTTTTTATTAACATGTTCGAAGGGTAGTGAGGTAACTTTCCGTAACCACGATTCTATAAGGTCACAAGTTATATCTTGCTTTCCGCAATATATTCGTTTATTGTAGGGTGATAAATCTGTAATAATAAATAAACTTTACTAGCTCATAGTGAGAGGCATTTTGAAAATGTTACACGCCGTACGGACAGAAAGAAGGTTGGCAATTAACTCCACATCCATATGGGAGAAACGTGTTAAAAAACCGAGTTAAAGAAAAATATAAAAATTTCCAGTGAATAGAAATCTAACTATCGATTGCTGAAAAGGAAAAAAGGGGATATTTATAAGGTCGCGTCGCATCGAAAAACAAGTGATTTAGGTAAAATTACCGGAAGTAAATTTGCGTCATTTGCATAAGATGATGCATAATTAAAATTCCGTATATAAATTATCTACTGAATGTGTATTGATCGGTTAACCATACAATTCGTTTTCTTCGGACCAAACAAGATTTACTGGTTCTTTATCCTTTTTACAAAAAACTCCAATAATAGAAATGTTAAAGAACATCAGTTATTACTAAATCATTCATTACCATATTCATTACCATAAAAATTTCGTTACGCTTGAATATATTTTAAATTAACTCCTTATTATAAGTTACTTCGTTTTTCTGTCAAAACCATGGAGATTATCAAACCTTCTTTATTCAGGTGATTATCTTGCTTTATTTTAAAGCTTTCTCTTTAACTTTAACTCCCATAATTGATTTGATTGAAGCTAAATATCGACTACGCATTTATTATGTTAATTAAAATTAATATCGATAAAATAAAATAGAATTTATAAAACATACTGTTTTTAACATTTGCGAAACATTTTTTTTGTTGGTCATCCAATATATGTAGATTTTTAACGTAAAGTTTCATATGTTTCTGTAAACATTTCATTCATTGATCCATAAAGTCAAATTGACGGAATTACATGATAACGAAGTACATGAAGCTTTGGTATTTTGCAATTACTTGAGGAATATTCAGAAAATACTGTTACGAATTATTGACAAAAATCGATTCACGCAATTAACGATATTTTACGCAATTATTTTTTAACAATACGATGATATTTTTGTAATTTTTTTTATATAATGGAAAATTTCAATTCGGAATAATTTATAATTTTTATTGCATTTTAATTTTTAATAATGTTAATAAAAAATGCTCTGAGCCCCATTTTCCTAGCAACTTTTTGTCTCATTTTAACGGTTAATTAGGTTAATTATTGATTTAATGATAAATTCCACGTGATTTATGATTTTTGCTTAAAAAAAAATTTTGTCAAATATATATATAATTTTCCTAAACGATCATCATATAAATTCCTCAATTATAATATACTGTATATTATATAAAAAAAAAGGTTTTTCGAAATGACGAATCAAAAATCAAAGAGTAATCGAACAAATTTTTCACGTGCTTGCGTTTTCATCGACTCGAGCAATCCTTCAATGCCTTATCAGAGTAAAATACGCCCTTTAATCAAAATTCCCTCATTGATCCCGCAGATCTAGTATTCTCTATATTTCTCTTTTTAACAATTTTACACTATTATTTCAAGATGGACTCCAATGAACGTCCCGATGTTTTAATAGACTCTTTGCCATGTAATTAACTATTCTTTTGTTAAATAAAACCTTTTTCCTAATTTTTCCATGTAATTAACTTTTTATTCTTTTCTTATAACAAGACTTTGATCAAGAAATAGATTATGAAGGTAAATACAAACTTTTATTTTAAATAATAAATATCTCCAGTTTTACTTTTTGGGGGGAGGTTTTCTAGTTTTGTATAATTACTATTGAAGTTCTGAAGTCGGTTGTAATAGTATTAGTCTTATACAAATATTCTGCTGGCACTTATGTGAAAATGGAAACCTTATTTGATCCCACGATATAAATACCACATTTGAACATCATACTATATAACCTTTTATATATTTATAATGATTTTCTTAATAAAAAATAAAAAATAAAAGGAATGCGAGCAAAGGTCGATAAACTTGTTGAACAAGAAATGAAAAAACGTCCTGCTAGTTTCAAACGCGATCAAGTTTTGAATTTTCCAGCAAATTTCGAATTCTTCAAAGTAGGTGTGAATTTTAATTTTAAAATTTTTTTCTTTTTCAAATAATATATTAAAACATTTCGTTTATTTCTATATTATCCTCTCCTTAAGTTGAATTAAATCGAACACTCTTTTATTTAGGATTCGCCAGTTCTTACAACAGAATATCAGCGTGTTCAACAAGGTAAACCTATTGCCGAAATGGATACAACAAGATACAAATTAGCAGAGCCTGAGGATAAAGAAGATCAAGAAGATTGGAAGAAAGCTGTAGATAATTCTAAAGCACAATTACAACATCAAAATTTACGGTAATTTATTAAAAAAACTTTGTTAGTTTTTTAAATCAGCCTAAATATATTTTGACTTTTTTTTTCTTTAGAATGTTCAATTTAGAATTATTACAAAAATATGGGGCCAATGCTTGGAGACTTCATAATTATCAATTAGAACATGAGTTGCAGCAGTATCAAATGATTATGGAAGAATATAAGCAAAATATTTTAGATTTGAATAAACAGAGAAAATCTGAACAGGTAGATAAATACCATTCTTTTGAAAAAGATTTATTGACCTATTTTTTTAATCGTATATTCTATATAAACAGCTTCAAGCGGGGAATCAAATTGAAGCATTGAATAATAAATGGAATGAGATGATTGGTCAGACTCTTCAAGTGGAAGTCGCTTGCGCTTCATTAGAAGTTGAGGTACAACAATTAAAATCGTATGAACAGCAACTTAAGACATCATTGGAAATGAGTAATGAAGAACAAGCTACTGAAGATGAGAATAATAAAACGGAAGATTAATTGTTTCAATTTCTTAGACTTTAGACATTTTAAAAAAAATTATAGAAGTTAGTTGCATGCAGATTAATAAATTTTTAAAATTTAGAACATATCGATCACTTGACACCAAGTTATGCGCTAATTAGAAAAGTTAATAATGAAAAACAGAATTTAATTTGGTCTTTTAGTAATAGTGGACTTCGTGGAATTCATCTCGATAATATGCAATATGCGTAATGAATGACTCAAAAGATCATTTCCAATATGAGTGAATGATGATGAAAGCAAGAAGTAATTATTGGAAAGATTACATTGAAGTAATTGTTTTATGGACTTACAATTAATTTTATAAATAGGTTTGATTATAATGTAGAAATCAAGAAAGGGATGTCATATAATTTCTTTAATTTTATTAATTTATTAATTATACGACGGGGTTATGTTACCTAGGAGATAATTATATTAATGTTATTTTTACGTGAAATAAAATAAAAATTTAAATAAAGTTTGTTGGCTTTGCTTTACATTCAATAAATGTTTGGAACTTAAAAAAATATATTTATTTCATTACATACATAATTCGCAAAATAACGGACGAAATAAATAATGTAAACGTCATTTTAATGATCTACGTTCTTTAGATCATCCAGATCCTCATGTCTATACTGATGAGTTTGATTTCTTGTCTAACGCTAGTAAATTACGCAGGAGCAAGCGATTCTCAGATCATCTTAACAAAGCCGATGGCGTAAATGATTCAAATTATTCAATGTTTTTTTATTTTTTTTTATTTTTTGAATATATAAAACGTGGTAAACGAAATTAAAATCCACATCAAAAATATATTCTATTTATGCAGTAAAAAATGATATTTTTTTAATGATATTTTTATTAAACCAATTACCTCCAAAATCCTTGCAATTATCACAGATTAAAAAGTTAATAACTTGTAAGATTTTTTTTTTCTTTAAAATTACATATTATTAAAAATGAAAATGAAAATAAAATAAAATAACACATTGAAAGAATCTAAAAGAAAAAAAAAGCAGAAACATAGTTCCTTTTGAATATTTAACATTTATTTTCTGCTCTAGTATTTAAAATTAATCCGACAATTAAACCATAAAGACCTAATACTTCAGCAAAAATTAAAATCAAGACCATCGTTACATAAAGTTTTTGTTGTTGTGCGTGAGCTCTTACGCACTGAATAAAAAAAAAAACGCATTTTTTTTGTATTAGAAAAATTCATATGGATGATTTGCAAAAAAAAAAAAATAGGTAAATAAATAAATAAGCGTAAACTTACAGCATCACCAACTATGCCAATAGTATATCCTGCTGCTAATCCGGAAAGTCCAACTCCAAGTCCAGATCCCATATGAAGAAATCCACTTTATTAAAAAAAAAAATTTAATTCATGTAATTTTTAAATTTAAATATATTTATAATACTTACGTAAATAAAGAATAATTATTATGTGGTGACACTAAAGATGCAAGATTTATTATCATTAACATTTGGTAAAAACACTATTAGGAAAAATTATTAAAAAAATATCTTTAAATACATACTATCTCCTGTTATTAAAACTGACATTACGAGACCATAAACGGCAATAATACCAGCCATAACAACCGGTAAAAGTGACTATAAAAGTCAAATATATATGAATATTATAATACTCGAATCGAAAAGTTAATGAATAAGTTTACCTTCATGATAAGGTCTGGTCGAAATGTACCAGCTCCGGCAATACCAATTCCTGCTTTTGCTGTACCATAGGCAGCACCGATCGCTTTAAAAAAAGGTAAATAGATTAATAAGAAATGAATTCAAAAAAAGAATCAATGACAAAATAAGATAACTTACAGCTAAATACCATCTATAATATGTTGCAACGAAGGCATAAATTATTAAAAATGATTGTGTTAAAATGTATTAACTAGTATTTATTGTACTTACTGCAGCGGCTACCCCTGCAAAGCCGAAGAATGATGCGTAAATAGGACAAGCTGGACTTAATTCTGTTATCGTTGTTGGTGCATCACCCATCTTTGAAGAATTTTAATAGAATAATTTTTTTTTTAAAAAAAAAGGAAGATTTGTTCAGTAAGATTGAATTGTGAGATGAAAGTTGACACACTATCACACTATTTATATTTTATCATAAAGTTACTCAAAGTCAGCCAATAAATTTAAAAAATCTTATCTATCAGCAATCACTGAATGAAATAATCTTACGCCCTAAAATTTTATAGATACTTTCACAGATGTCTAATGATACAATAAGTTTAGAGACGGCAGTTGAAACAGCAGCTTTAACATTTCTCGATTTTGTAGTGCCTGATGCTCCATTCACTCTTTTTCCAGAAAATACGCTAGCTCGCAAAATGGAAGATCCTCGAGCAAAGGAATTGTCAGAAAAAATTGATCCTGCTATTCCAATGTTGTCTGAAGGCTTTTTAGCCCATGTAATACCAACTATAGCGCAAGTTGAAGAACAATTACGAGAATTAGAGTAAACAAATAAATTTGATATAATGGTTGAAGCTTTATTTTTGTTTAATTTTCTTTTTCAATTTTCAATTTTTTTTCACAGGGAGAAACAAAAACTTCTTTTGGAAGAATTAAAAACAACAAACATAAAGATGGAAAATCAAGATAATTATGAGTATATAGCATTAAGTGTCTGTGTTTTTTTTTCCTTTATTCAATCATTTTTTTTTTTTTTTTTTATACAAAAAAAAAAACAATTCTATTAATATAAGTTTTTTTAAAATTCAAAGTTCTCAAAAATTCCTAAATATAATAGCAAACTTCAGAATATACGCAATACAATGTTATCAATGTTATTACGATCCAAAAACTTAAAACAACGAGTTGCTCAACTTAAAATAATGAAAGAACAACAATTAGCCCAAATTGCTAAGTTTCAAAAACGCGAAAGAAATTTTGATCAAACAGTCTTGGCAGCAAAAGTTGTAGAACGCAATCCTCCTCCTATCCCTGAAGCTGTTGTTGTTTCGACAAAGATACTCAAGAAAAAGAAAAAAGAAAAAACAAAAGAAAAAGGAAAGGGAAAAGAAAAGATTGTTCGAAGAAGAGAAATAGAATTTGATTCTTCCTCCTCTTCAATTGCTGAAAGTAACATTAATAGAAATATATCTTCTGAAAAAGATGCTGAAGAATGAGGAATACAATAAATAATTTAAGTAAATATAACTTATATATATTTAGATTTAAATTATGTATTATCTATTGACATTTGGTTCATTCGTCAGTCTTTGGAGGTGCAAAATTTTCAACCCCCAAGTCTTCTTTCCTTATTTCATTGTACAAAGTCATTTGCACATCTTTCAAAGCCAATCCGCATTTTTCATAAAAGGGAATATTCTTTTCATTACAATTCAAAATTATCTTGTAACATCCAAGTTCTTTACCAAGATGTATAAGCTGTTCAATAATCCTGAAACCAATAAAATATTTTAAAACACGTTTATAGCTTTAAAAAATCTAGAATATGAACTTTCTTACCTTCTTCCAAGATTCATTTTTCTTTGTGATATATGTACAACAATATCTTCTATATGACCGGCCTTTATATGAATTACATTGAAAATATGTTTAGTCAATTAAAGTTTATTGATTGAAGTCACACAATCAACAACAGTAATTAAGAATTTACCTTTCCAAAATTTCTTAGAAATTTCATTTCTACAAATAAAGTGCCTAAACCTACGATTTTTTCTTGATCCTTTTCTTCAATAACAATTATATAGTATCCATATGCATTTTTTAGTTCTTCAAATCGCTCTTTAAAATAAAATAATCGCGAGACATTCAATTTAATTTTTATTTTTATAAAAATATAGATGAGAAATAAATTCAAACACAAAAGAACCTTACCGACAAATTTTTGTTGTGAAACATCACCGATGATAGAAAGTTGTTCCAAACAACTAAAAATTCCTATTAAAAAAATTCGTTAATATAAGTTTACTGCGCCACTACACACCAAGACATTAAAGTCAAGCTCGTGTATCAAATGTCGTTCTAATTTCCTTTTTAGTAAAAAATAATCTCTCAGGCTTTCAAAAAACATGAAAGATTAAACAAACCTTTATTAAAATCATCCTTTGCAAGTGGCCTTAACTTTAAGTTAGATGGCAACAAGTCTTGTATTTCAGTTGAAATTAATGATTCGTCAAAAAGGTATTCCATTGTTAATGAAGAGTAATCTCTTTTATTGATGAGCAAATGTCCAATATTTATATATAAAAAATCAATTTTTTTTGGCAAACAAAACTGTCACAAACTACTTTATAAGGTTTCATGTAAGACGCCCCCTGCATTCCCATTATTTTCACATAATTACTATTCGATAAAAAAAACAAAGTATATAAAATATAATAATAAAAAACAATCGAGTTCATGAAATTTGCCAATACATAATATAGTAGCTGATTTTGTTAAAATTCTATAAAATTTATGTTATATTATCATACATAGTTAATAATTTAATCTTTTATTTTTACTTTATAATTTTCATTTTTATCTAGGATGATTTATTATGTTCATATGATAAATATGTAAAAAATATAATTCAAATAAATTTCGTAAATTTCTTAGCTTTAATAATCACTTTATATCAATAAATTAGTATATGCTGCCCATCAAAAATTTTATTTTACACAAACCAGTGTATCACATGATGATTTACATTGTACATGCGAAAGGTTTCACAATCATAAATTCGGTTAAACTTCGGCAATATATTAATTACCGCCAAATTTTCATTATAAATATTTTTGAATTTCCCTCTTTTTTTATCAAAATGGCTGCTATCGAAAATAGAGTAAATCAATTAAACGTTGCACTTGAAAAATTAAATAAGGCAGAAGAAAAGTTGAATGAGGCAGAAGAAAAGTTGAAAAGGCTAGACGAAGTGAAGGGTTTGATTAGGAAGTTGAATAGTAAAATAAGACGTGAAAAAGATGCAGAAGAAAAGGAAAAGTTGGAGGGGGATAAAAAAGATTTAGAAGATGAAAGAGACGACTTGGAGAAGGCAAAAGAAGAGTTGAAGAAGAAAATTGAAGAGTTGAAAAAGGACAAGAACGATTGGAAGGAAGTGGTATTGGTAGAATTTGGTAAAGGAGAAGGTAATGAACAAATTATGTAAAAAAATATACAAAATATTATTTTCCGCTCATTCCATTTTGTTTATTTATTTATTTGTTCACGAGACATTTGATATATTGTTTGCAACATTGACTAATTTGTGCTTTTTTTTGTAATTATAGGTGATGATCTAAAGGAAGAGAAACCTGAGAATAGAGAGTTATATAAGGATTCAGGTTTATCTTCAATGACATTTTGTTTCTTTAACCCTGCTCAATTGTTGATACTAACTGATATTTTATACAGATCTGAATCGTGCTTTCCAAATTGATTTCAAAGACCATGCCAATTAT